GCCTGGCACCTCAGTGACGAGCACAATTATGAGGCTTCCAGGCTTGGCCACACTGCTCTCAAGTGTGTCCTGCATACAAGCCCCCTCCCCAGGCTCTGCTATCAGCCACAGGGTCAGGGAAATGAGTGAAAGACACAAGCCTGCAGATGACAAATGTAGATTTGCACACTCAGTGAAAAGGGATGGCTGACACCCCATGCTGTTCTAAACTTTCAGAGGCAACAAAAACATCTTTAAATATCTTTATTGAAAAAGGTTTCCATTATTGCAATAGAAATTTCTGACCAAGCAACTCAGAAACAGAGAAGCCCAGAGAGGGTGAGGCAGTTGCCTGTCTCTGCACGGTGCACGGTGCAGGTGCATCCGCGGAGGTGCCGGGATTCAGACTGTCCTTCTGCAAGCCCACTGCTGATCCCAGCGAGGCCTTTAATTCCATCCAAAGGGGAAAATCACGGCAAGCCATCCATAATTGCTACCCACTTTAGGCAAGATGGTGTTCAGAAAACTCCTCGAGCTGCAGGCTTAAAGTAAAGCAAAATAAAGCAACAAAGAAATGACTGGGATCAGCACCAGACAGAGACGCTTTTATTCGTGTCCATCCTCTCCTCAGTGCGACCTGGCCAGCTGGCTGGCAGCAGCACAACTTGTTCCCCATCCATCAAAGAAATACAGCAACCCATTCCAGAAACGATGCAGAGATGGCTGTTTTGCAGTGACCCAGCCACTTTACAGCATGGAAAATGCATTATATCTCAAAAAGCAATAGTGACTCACGTGGGGACTCCAATATCAAACCAGAATAGAGTGAGAAATAGGACAGACATGTTTGGGAGGCTTCACCTGAGCTACATCAACACTCCTATCAAAACCGGGGCTTACACAGCACGCATTTAACCCCCTCCTTTAGGAAAAGCCCCTCAATTCCATTCAGACAATAATGAACTAACAGATGAGTCTAATAAGCAGAACATATTATTTTCCATGCCTGGAAGCTGGCAGAAAGCATTAAACTCAGTATCTCTCAAAATACCCAATAACAGAATATCAGAGGGTTAGGATATTACTAGTGAAGCCTATTTTTGCTATTTCCTGTGTCCATTTTTGGACTCAGTCTCAGCTGAATGTTTTCTAGGTTGCCTACATGATTTCTTTCCTTTCCTTTCTTTCTTTTCTGGCTGTTCTTAGCCGCACTGTATTACACTGATCCATCTTCTTCGCTCCTCCTCCTAATAATTCCTGCACCCTCCCTTCCTCTCCATCTTGTCTTTGCACAAATGTGTATCAAGTGCCCTGCTAGGTGCCCCTAAGAGGTAGCAAACCCTAAGTGCCATCGTGGACAGGAATCCTTTTCTACGTGACAGAGCCATGTGTTCTAAACTTGGCGGGGGTGAGGGTGTCGGGGAGGTTTCCCACTGGGAGTGAAGGGGTGGGCACTCCTCACCCTGCAAGAAGCTCATAGAAATGCTCTGCCTGGAAGCATGGGTGCATCAATGAGCCGAAGGACAAGCAGTAGGGCTGGAGAGTGGATGAGGCTACAGGGCAGGGGTGGGCTGGTCAGCATATGCCTGGGGGCTGCACAGTGTGTCCAGACAGGAAGGGGAAGCCAGACAGCAAGGGGAGGCAGGGATGACAAGATCTGACTTGTCTGGGAGCTCTCTCCTCCTGCCTGCTCCTCCTCCCACATTGCCCCTTTCAGTGGCCACACGGCGGAGTGTGCCTTCCCCTTCACAATGCACGCCTCTTCTGGTCTTTCTGTTTCCTGGGGCTTTACTTTGACCCTTGCAGTTTCACTGCTTTCCTTCTTCAGCTGTGATCACTAGTGTCCCCAGAGCGCCCTGTGGTCTCCCTCCCACCCTTCTTGCCCTAGATAAGGGAGCTGATTTCCCCTTTCTTGACTCCAAGCTGGGCTCCTGCCTATTCTGACCAACAGAAAGTGAAGAAGGGCTGTTGCAGGACTCCCACACCCAGTCCTTAAGAGTACCAGCAGCCTATCCTTCCTTCCTGTCAGAGCACTGCTGGCCACCAAGCTGGGGGACACCAAGCCTTGTGGAAAAGGCCCAGAAGGGGTGGGTGCACAGCTCCCGGCTGAATGGCTGAGCTTCCCACCAGGGCCGGCATCCCCACCGGCTCAGCCCAGTCCTGCGCCGCTGTGGAAGTGCACCCCTCAGCACGCCGGCCCAGTGGAGCCCCAGCCCACGGCTGTGCCCAATGCCACGTGAAACGGACAACCAGCCACATGGGCCTGGACAGCCCATGACATCATAAGGAATAATCTGAGTTGTCTGCTTCAAGTCACTCGGTTCTGAGTAGTTTGTTCTGCAGCAAAATATGAGTGACTTAAATATTCTCTGAAATCTATTCATTCCACATTGGGTTCATGTGGACCTGCGGGCCCCATATTTAGCAGTTACTTCAAAAAGAAAGTCCTACATTCCATCTCTCAGGAAAACGAAAGCAGAAAATGAAGCAACCTCTACATCCTCCATGATGAAGCCTGGCGGACGTGGTCTACATCCACCATGGGAAAGAGGAACGAGCAGGATCCTTCAGTAGAGCTCAAGAGATGTGCGAGTGACGGGGTTCCGCACCGGCAGCTGGGCCGGGTATGTGGAGGGGGATCGTTTCTGAGGGCCTGGATCCTGGTAACATTTGTCAGGCAGGGACTGTTAGGTCTTTGCTCCTTGAAATTCAATTACAACTTGGAAATTCCTCATTAGCCAGAGCATTTGGAATCATCAAACATTTTACATTTTGGAATTAAAGATCCTACACATAGGCCATATAAACTGCCTCCTGTAACCGTATTAATAAGATTCCACCAACATATTATACATATAATATGGTAGGGCTCTCTCTCTCTCTCTCTCCCTCTCTCTCTCTCTCTCTATATATATATAAAAAAATAAATATTTGGAGATAGCACCTAACTCTGTCACCCAGGTTGGCATGAGTGATACAATCAAAGCTCACTGCTGGGCTCAAGGGATCCTTCTACCTCAGCCTCCTGAGTACCTGGCACCACAGGTACAGGTCACCATGCCCGGCTAATTCTGTGGTTGTTGTTGTTAAAGATGGGGATCTCACCACATTGCCCAGGTTGAATGTTATAAAATTTATTCTTGATTTCAAACTTAAAAAATCTGAATTGAGAAATGAAAAGTATTGATTATTTTTTTCTAAATTGTTACATTACCATCTTGCTCTAAGAGCAGGAATCCTCATCCTTCTGCCTGTAAACACAGAACTGCCTTTATGGAATGTGTGTTCTTTTCCGTTTGCCAGACTAAGTGTGCTGCACACCTCCACGGAGTGATCCTCCAACCTGTGAAGCTGACACTTCCCCCATTTTTCAAAGGAGAAATTGGAGACTCAAAGGTTACACGGACTATAAATATTACAGCTAAAATTAACACTTAGACGTCTTCAACCCTGACCCTTTGCCCTCAAAAAGTCAGACACAATGCCCTCATTATGGACTGAGTTGCATCCCCCTCAAACTCACATGTTGAAATCCTAACACCTGGTGCCTCAGAGTGCGACTCTACTTGAAGACAGAACCTTTAAAAAGGTAATTAAAGTAAAAGGGGGTCATGAGCGTGGGGCCCTACTCCAATTCGACTGGAGTGCTTACAGGAAGAGGAGACTAGGGCACAGACAGGGATAAGGGAAGGTCACGTGAACCCAGTGAGCTGGCAGCCATCTACCAGCCAAGGAGAGAGGCTCAGAAAAAGCCAGCCCTGACAACACCTTCACTCAGACTTCTGGCCTCCACAATTGTGACAGGGTAACTTCTATTGTTAAGCCTCCGAGTCTGTAGCACTTTGTTACAGCAGCCTCAGCAAACTAATACAGCCCCCCGAGAAATAGAAGACCCAAAGTCCAGGCATGGAAAGGTGTGTGTTTGATCCATCAACAGGGGACCACTTACCCCTATTTTAGACATTTTTCAAAGCTCGGTTGTCTGAACTAATTTAAGAAGCAGAAAAGTGGCAGCAAATGAGAAGAAGATACTCTTTAACAGGCCCAACGATTCAAGTGAAATGTGGTCCCCAACAGCAAAGACAGGGGCAGAATGAAAAGTCAGTACAAGAAATGGCATCGTCCAGCCTTCTGGAAGTAGCCATGTAGGACAACACATTGCTTGTCCAGCAGGATCACTGAGTGACCATCGAGGGCAATTTGGTCACGCCGTTCCCTGCATCAGGAAATCCTGGGCTTCCTTATTCATTCAGTTGGGGCCAAAGGAAACAACTTGCTTTTCATGATGTAATTTATGAGATCTGAGACCTTATTAGTAAGAAATGTTCTGGGATCCCTTATTTGACTATGCAGTTTAACAAGAAATTTTACTGCTTCTAGAAACTTACCCTGCCTAAATAATTGCCTTTTAGGCATCTGGTCTGCAAGTCAGACTACCTTGGTTTACCAACGTGTCCCTTATTTCCTGACCTCAGGAGAAAGACTATTAGAACACAGGTATATGCCCTGCAGGGGACGTTTCTGCATGCAGCTAGAGATGACAGTCCTCCAGATCACCTGCAGCCATCTCTGCCCCAGAACTCTCCAATGCACGATGGGGAACACAGATGAGGATGTGGGTCCAAACTGTGGGCTCCAGCAGTGCGTCCCATAAGCCAGCACTTTCTGCTGTTGGTCATAACTGCTGCCATTCAGAGAACAAAGGTACTGCCTTACGCAAGAATACTCCATGTGCCAAGATGCACAGAAACAACTCTAGGCCCCGAGAACACACAACTTCATGGGCATCTTAGGCAGCAGGCTAGCCAGGGTGTGCACGTGTGCATGCCAAACCAGGGAACGCCGGCTGAGGGGGACAGAGCTGCTTCTCAAAGGCCTGGTCACTTGGAAAGTCGTGTAGGCAGCAGTGGCCCCAGATCATAGATGACATATCTAGCATTTCTGTGAAATATTCAAATATACTTGATAGCTACATGTATACAAGCATAAAAGCATTTTTTTTCCTTGCTCAATATACTTACCTGTTATAGAGAAGAATGTCTGGTTTCCAAATCTGGCCATCTGGGAAACGAACAGTCTTCACCCCTGGATATTCTGACACATTCCACTGTAAATAGTGATCTGTCCAAGACTGACACACACAATGACATTAGCAGCACTTCACTTCCTTGGCTACTAATATTTCTTATAAGCAATTGTTAGGTAAGTGCAAAGCCAAAGAGAATTCCAGACATTTATTATAACTGAATTGCTATTTATAAAACATAATGAAAATGGGAATTCAATAATCCCTTCCAAAATGACTGTGAAGAGCATAAAACTCACATTTAAGGTTCTGCTGTCACCATGAACACATTCAAATGGTATCATTAAAGTGAATTCCAACCCTCTGCATGTCCCCGAGCCTTCTCCTGCAGTGGATGGGTTACTTCTAGCCAAATGAATAACTGTTTTGCCTTCAAAGTTTTCACTGTGAGAATACTTCGAAAAAAGAAATTCACTTATTTCCACTAGAATAAGAACCGGACTGGAAAAATGTGGAATATTTATTTCCAAAAAGCAATACTGTGCAGTTGCATGGGAACCTCTCAGAATTTCTAAAGGAATGTTTTCAGATTTGAATTTTTATTTTGTCACAGGGATAGTGCTTCTGACACCCGACAATGCAAATCCTGAGCCCTGATGGTGAAACACAGAGTCAGGACGAAAGGAGGCAGATGAAGACTCAGGAAGCACTCACACAAGCTCGCGGCCAGGCCTTAATTGAGGTTATCTAGTGACCTTGTCAGAGGAATACCCATGTCTGGGGTCTTCCCTCCCAGGATCAGGTGCTAAACAGCCTTTCCTGGAGCCCACAAGCTCTGCAGAGGATGCTCGGGTGGGATCCCACCTGCAGCTGCCACATAATTAGCACCACCCCACAGGAGGCTCAGTGCTGACAAGTGTGAACTCAGAAGCTCCTATAATTGCACCATTATCCTGTATTCTGTCCGCCTGGTACCACCCACGCTCTGGAGCTCAGGCTTTCCAAGATCTGAAAAGGTATGTGGTGCACCACCCCGACCTGGGACCAGGGTGACTCCTCACAATCAAACACATGGTAATTTCTGCAGCAAAACATGCCTATTTGCACGGAGACAAATAAATGCCTTAATTGCACATACATTTCAATTTGATTTTAGACCAAAACAGTTTGATGCAAAGTTACGAAAACAACATTAAAGGAGGGGAACATTTTTTCCAAGCTGCTGAGATTTGGAAATTGCAGATGAGGGGCTGTGGAGCTAGAGCTACTGATACTGACAACAAGGGAGTCAAAGGGCATATCCCAGACCAACTATCCTCTGAGGAGGGCGGGCAGCATCCAGAAAGATGGTCCCAGCTCTGGATCTAATCCTACATCAGAGGAGAGGAACTATCCAGATGAGTGACATCATTTTGCAGCCAGGGACCTCCAGGAAAGAGGAAGTGTTCACGGGTGATGTGCAGAAGTATCATCTGGGGCATTCAGGATCAACAGCTGCCTGCTGGGCTCTCTAATGAGATGGAAGTGGTCTGGGAGGGGACAGGAGGGGTGCACCCAGGAAGGGTGGGTCTTGTCCTAACTGTCTTCCAGGAATGCCTGGGCACCAACCAAGCCACGCTTCCTGCAGCTCACTCCGACTTGACACCTCTGCCCTGTGCTTCCCTTCATTTCTCTCCCTTGTCCTGGGCATGAGGCCCTTCCACAGCCAACACCTGTGCTTTCTGTGCCACAGTTTTGCATCTCATCCTGGGATGCTTCTCTGGGTTGGTCACTAATTATCACAAAGCCAGTCAAGTTCACGGTTATTACCATACAGGTCAGGGCCACAAGGTTCCATGAACAGGCCTGGAAAGTGGGCATGGTGGACCAAGGCACTTCTCTCCTTCTCCCCTGCCTGCCGAATGATGGCCAGAGAGGGGGAGGGGAGACAGGAAATGGGAATGGGGATGGGAGTGCCTGGTTGGTCAAACCCAGACCTCTTCCAAGGCACAGCCAGAGTTGCACACTGCCTCCCCACACTCCACACACCCCACTGCGTGAACCATGGGCTCATCCCCTCCCTGGCCAGATCACAGCCTTTATGCTAGTCCAGTGTCCTGTGTATGTCCAGACTCACCATAGTTCAGAGGGGGTCAGAGTGAGGACTGCTCCCATTTACAAGAGGAGGCCAGGGTTCAGGAAACTAGGATGTTTTAGTCAGTCACTGGGTCAGGGCTTACCTGTGTTACTTGACTTTAAGCAAACTGATCTCTGGGCTCTACCAGAGCTGGTTCTTCTGGCTCAGTCTCCCTGATGCTGCTGCCCATCTGCTGTTTTCCCTTGCCCCAAACCAGGCTGACCATTGTGTCAGAGGCATGTAAACCAGGGAAACTCCATCTCAAATAGCAGCTGGGTAAAACAGGCTCAAACCTCCTACGGGGCTGCATGCCCAGATGGTTAGGCATTCTAAGTCAAGGGACGAAATAGGAGGTCGGCACAAGATACAGGTCATAAAGACCCTGCTGATAAAACAGGTTGCAGTAAAGAAGCCGGCTGAATCCCACCAAAACCAAGACAGCCACGAGAGTGACCTCCGGTCATCCTCACGGCTACACTCCCACCAGCTCCATGACAGTTTAGAAATACCAAGGCAACATCAGGAAGTTACCCTATATGGTCTAACAAAGGGAGGCATGAATAATCCAACCCTTGTTCAGCACATCATCACGAAATAACCATAAAAATGGGCAACCAGCAGCCTTCGGGGCTGCTCTCTCTGTGGAGTAGCCATTCTTTCATTCCTCTACTTTCTTAATAAACTTGCTTTCACTTTACAGACTTGCCCTGAATTCTTTCTCACACGAGATCCAAGAACCTTCTCTTGGGGTCTGGATCAGGACCCTTTTCAGGTAACAGTAATGGCAGAAAAGGTCGGGGGGAGCTGCAGAAAGCATCCGAATCAGACAGACCTGGGTTTGTACCAAGGCTCTGGCAGAGACTAGTGGTGCGAGGTTGTTCAGATAAATCATTGTCTCTGGACTGCAGTTTCCTCGTATGTCCCCTGCCTCACAGGATGAGATAAGATAATGTGTGCAGCAGCAGATTAAAGTCATGTGGCCCTGGTAGGCAAGTGATGAATGACGGTGTAAGAAAAGAGAGAGATTTCCCCACTTTACAAAATCCTGCTGGACTTGGGAGCTGTAATAACAGTCATAACGTAGCTGCGGCCAAAGGTGGGGGAGAGTGAGTGCCAACGAGGACAGGGAACCTCAGGCTGTGTGCCCTGGAGCCCAGGTCCACACTCTTGAGCCCGGGGGGCCCACCAGTGACCCCCACAGGCTCCGATGAAGGTTTCCTAAGAATGGATATAGAATAAGGCCCTATAAACAACAAACTTCTAGAAAAAGGTGGTTCTCTGAAAGCACTTGGTTCCTAGGTCCCTCGGGAACAGGGGGCAACAGGCAAAATCTTTGTAGACAGCACCTGGCATGTTTTCCACAGAGTGGGGATCTGAAAAGAAGCATCAATGAACCTAGACTCCCAGACCATTGCATTTAGAGGAGTGTGTGCTCTTCCTTCTCTCCCTCTTTCTGTGAGATTCCTTCTCATTAAATCTTCAAAAGAAGAGTGTGTGGAGTTGTGAGGGGACACAGAAGGGAGGAAGGGGCCATTGATCGAAAAGGCACCGCGGGAATCCCAATTATTCCATGGCCCTGGCACCTGGGCCCCATGTGCACTGCTTCGAGCCCACAGGAAACTCTAAACGTGTGTGGATGCTAGCGGCATGGAAGCATTGAGGGAGGGTGGAGGAGGGGAAAGGGATGAGAGAGGGGAAGGGAGGGAGGAAAAAGGAAAGTTACCTTTCATTAAAAAAAATACATTATGGTATAAGAAGAAGATAGATTTGGTTTTCCCGGCACAGAGCTTCTAAAGCCCTGGGAATTTCCTGAGTGAGAGGAGTATCTTTTGTGATTCATACAGAGCCCCTTCTGACCATGCCTGAGGCCTGAGTTTACACTGATGAGGTGACTTAGAGTTGGGCACCTAGATAGCTTTCATGGGGGCTGGTCACCTAGTGACTGGAGGAAGGAGCTTTCCATCCACTGCACTCACAGCTCTGGGGAGGGGTGAGAAAGGGGCTGGAGACAGGGTTATAAACACTCTTGGTCAGCACATCCACTTGCGGGGAGGGTGGCGCTGGGGAGAAGTTACTGCGGCTCCGTACACCTTTCCAGCCACCACGCCCCGCCCTCTGCGTCCTTCCACTTGGTGGTTCCTGAGCGCATCCTTCAGAATAAACCAATAAACGTTAAGTCATGGGTTTTCTTCTTCCCGAGTTTCATGTTGCTGAATTCCTGTTCTGAAACTCTGAATTCACGTAAGCTTTTCTCCAGGGTATTTTATAGAAGTAGATATTAAATATTTATTTAATGAATATATTTTTCTTTATAAATATACTAGTTTGTGTATTATATACAATTTTATTAAATAAGCCAAGTATTTTCCTGAGCTGTGAGCCATCTTAGAAAGTTATTGAACCTGGGGGAGAAGGGTAGGGGAACCCTCGAATTTTCAGTCACCTGGTAGACGTTGTGGGTAGCCTGGGTACCCCATTTGCAGCTGGTATCTGAAGTGAGACTGAGTCCTTTAACCTGTGGGATCTGATGCGAACTCCAGGTAGATAGTGTGAAAAATAAATCAAACTGGTGGACCCCCAGCTGCTGTTGGAAAATTGGTTGTTGGTGCCAGAAAAGACATCGCATGTTTGATGTCAGAAAACACTTATCTTTTCTAAATTCTTCCCGTCTATTATTTTGACAGAGGAGGAAAGCAGCCTTCTTTCTAGCCCCCTGATCCTGACACTTTTTTCTCTTGGTGAGACGTAATGATTGAAACATCGCTCTTCACCCTGAGATGCTGTCGTGGCCCTAAGCAAGCCGCTAGCTGGCTTGTCTGTGAACAGGAAGCACGGCATTTCCATGTGTCAGAGATCAAGTGATAATGAATGCAGAAATTAAAAAGGTAAACATTTTAGAAAAAATAATGGCTTAAAATCTCATCTATGGTGTGAATGCTATTAGTACCATAATTAGAATTAGGAGGTTAAAGTCAGAGAACGACCCAGG